TAATTGACAGTCAACGAAGCAATTCATGGCTGCATGTCTATGCACGGTACGCAATCAGAGGCCCTATGCCTTTTATATTGAGCGCCCGCCAGAATGGTGACACATCACACATGGCTGGGCAACAGAATTCAGTTTCCAGGCAGCCAAAGTAAGCCGAAGGGTATGCGGATTTGGCTTCTAATGTCTTCATAACATGTGGGAATGTTTTCAAACTGCAGCACCCTTCTTTCCCATAGCAAGCAATGCCGGTTGGGTTTGCCATTTAAAAGGAGGGGCTGCAGTTTTTGGGTGAATGTGCAGCTCACACTTCCCCCCCACGCCTCCCCGTGGCTATTTGGGATGATCCCTTCACTCCTCCCCCCACCACGTGGCTATTCTCAGGGATGATCCCTTTTAGCCAATTGCAAACAGCCCGGCATGAACGGGGTCCTTTTACTGTTCCCTTACAAAAATTCCCCTATTTCAACCAGGTGACCATGAATGATATCACTCTCCTGAGGTTGACACAGAAAGATATAGACCGAATGTTGCTTGAATGCGACCAAAACCCATGCTTTGTGCTGCAATGATTCCAGACTACTTGCTACTGGCTTGGCGTGGTAAAGTGTCCTACCGTGGAGGATGAAATAAGGCAGCCCTCCCCAGAAACCTTCTGCAAAGGCTTTCAGAGCACCTCCAGGAGAGCTTCATGGAGATGTCCCTGGAGGATTCCTGCTCCATCCCCAGACACGTTAACAGACTTTTCCAGTAGCTGTACTGGCCACAAATGCATCCCAAGTCTTCAGAGCAAATCAAACATTAAACAGTATTGCTAAGGTTTTTAACCCTGTACCGTAGTTACAAATGTGCACTCACCAGAGGGGCCTTCTCCGCCTTCAGGGTCGGGGATCCCGCCTTGGGAGGGTATTGTCTCCAGGGTGGTGAAAAGGTCCTGGCTGCCGGGGAGAAGGGATTCACCACTTGCCTGCTGCACATTCTCCTCCTCCTCCTCTTCCTCTTCCTCATCCACAAAATCCTCCTTCCTGTTGCGTGAGACTTCCCCCTTGCAGGTGTCCACGGACAGTGGTGGGGTAGTGATAGGGTCCCCCCCTAGAATGCCATGCAGCTGATCATAGAAGCGGCATGTATGGGGCTCTGACCCAGAGCAAGTGTTTGCCTCCTTTGTCTTTTGTTAGGCTTGCCTGAGCTCCTTGACTTTCACACGGCACTGCTGTGTATCCCTGTTGTAGCCTTTGTCCATCATGCCCTGTGCGATTTTTGGCATATATGTTAGCATTTCTTCTCTTTGATCAGAGTTCTGGCTGCACAGATTCTTCTCCCCATACAGCAATGAGATCCAGTGTTTCCCGTTCGCTCCATGCTGGAGCTCGTTTGCGATTCTCGGGGGACTGCATGGTCAGTTGTGCTGTTGAGCTCGCCACACTGACCAAAGAGGAAATGAAATTCAAAAGTTCCCGGGGCTTTTCCTGTGTACCTGGCTAGTGCATCGGAGTTGAAAGTGCTGTCCAGAGCGGTCACATTGGAGCACTTTGGGATAGCTCCCGAAGGCCAATAACGTCTGTTTGCATCCACACTACAAATTTGACCCAGCAAGTTTGATTTTAGTGCTATTCCCCTCACCGGGGAGGAGTACAGAAGTCGATTTTAAGAGCCCTTTAGGTCGACAGAATGGGGTTGCTTGTGTAGATGCATTCATTATAAAATCGATGTAATGCGGCTAAATTTGACCTAACCCTGTAGTGTAGACCAGGGCTAAGATGTTTAAGGGTAATTGATAATGAAACGGATTAAACTGGGTTTTGTACCCAATAGAATGTGTTTGGCAAAAGCAGCAGAATTGTATGCTGTTGTAATTTAAAATAAGCTGTATTCATAGGAATGTTGAAAAATTAGTTAATTAATGAGCTCTTTTTATATTACACACGCGCACACACATTTTGTCCAAATTGTCTAATAACAGCCTAATTGGCATATTCAGTAGAAAGATAAATTGGGGGGTTATTAGATTTAGAGACATATAAAATCTTCAGAAAGACTCTTATATTGGTAGGACAATGGACAAAGGGACTAAAGAGGTCAAATTCTATGTCTAATGTCAAAGATTGCAGTCCTAGGATCATAAATAAACACATAACTCTACAATATATAAATGTATTTACAGTATTGCCCTTGAATATGGGAATAAACTGTAAGTGACGACAGATTCTTTTAACAAATTAAAAGTTTAAATACCTTATCCTCTGCCTGGCTTAGCCCTCTTTTTAGGTCTTCCACCCGACTTCTCAGCTTCTTAACCTCATCCTCGTGTTGTTCCACTCTCTTGCTTGTATGCATCAGTTCCGCCGCTTTATCATGATACTGCTTGTTTAGCTTGTGGTGTGCATGCTGCAGCTCAATGAGCTCCTTTTAAATAAAAACAATACTGTTCAGATACTAAAACACATTTGGGCACTGAAACAGCTTAGAAATCTTCTTAAAGGAAGCTTTCTATAGGGAGCCTGCTATGGCTGTTGAAAGTCTTGCTTATAAAAAAAAATTGGTTAAGTGTATTCCAGTTAGTATTTATTCTAACAAGAACAATTCTGCATTTTCAGGAGAACTTAAAGGTGTAGGGACCTATTAACATCAGTTCACAAAAAAGAATAGGGAGGGCAGATCCTCAGCTGGTGTAAATTCTTTATATCACCACCGACACCAATGGAGCTATAAAAATGTACACCAGCTGAGAATCTGGCCCAGGGTCTTTTATCACAGCTTTGCGGCTGCAATGTGCTGCCACTGAGGAAGAAAATAGTCCCTTCAGTAGAGAACTGTAAGAAATGTCAGGGCTATCTGTGACTGTCTGAGGAGAATTGCTGTGGAAAATTACATGACATTTTATCAAAAGACGGAGGCTGTTACAGTTAAACTGGTGAAGCTTCCAAACCATTTATCAAAGCCCTTTCAGTTCTCATTTCAAGGTAGATGAAACAAATATTAAAATAAAGTTCATCTGTTTCTGGAACATTTTAGAAAGTAAAACCAATCTGTTCATACCTGTTTTTCTCTTGCCAACTCTTAAATTAAATACACATTTTCATAACTTGTTAACCTCTATCCTCTGTGCTAAGGTAATAATCATTTAGTCAAAAATCTTGAGTGTGAAAACCAAAGTGATAGCAGGGAGATGCAACTAGTTGTAAAAGTTAGTGTAGTCAAGACAAAATGTTTTACATTTGAAAGTAGCAGCGTGTATAAGAGCTAGCTTGTTTGGAATAAGAAATTGATTATGAACAGATTATTGTTATTTTTACTAATTTGTAATGTGGTAGTGCCTGAAGTCCCCAGCCCCATTGTGCTAGGCACAATACAAATAAAAAAGAAAGACAGTTCCTACCCTGAACACCTTATAATTTAAGTAGAAGTACATTGTAGCCTAAGTAAACTGTGAATTTGAATCATTAGCTGAAACACAGGACACTAGTTGGCATCTATTTGAGTGTCTTTGGTTTGATCATCTATACTGAACATTAGGGCTTCTGGTTTTTTGGTGTTTATTAATTTCATTTTTGTGGTTAATCAGGGCTTTTGAGGGCTTTCTCTTCATATACACTGTAATGAGTAACATATATTGTATACATTGCTCATTACACTCATATATACTGTCATAAGTAATCTTTTGATAATGTTCCCTAGTGTGCTTTAATGTAGTACTGTCTCAAACAGCACTACGTTAAAGTGCACTAGGTAACCTTTGGTGCACACTAGCAGGGTCTACATGGACCAATTAATGTGCAACACATTAGGGTGCTTTGGAAATCATACCCTCATGGTTTTCATTAGTGTTCCCTGTAGACAAGTCCTGAAATACAAGTAAGCACTTTCTGTGTTTTTCTGGCATTTATTGTATAAATGCCAATTTCTTTTTTTCTTTTCTTTTCTTCTTTTTAAACTTGTTCTCTTATTGGGGGTGCTATATTGGTATTTATTGGTAAAAACAGAAAATCAGAAGCCCTATGAATATTTCAATGTAGTTAGCATTTATAGGTTTTTTTTTAAAAGTCCACAAGCCCTAAGCATCTGCTTCAACTACTATACTCTCCTGCCTCCCTGGTTCCCAATTTATTCCTGTAAGAGTAAGGCCTGGTCTACATTACACAGTTAGGTGGACACAAGACAGCTTACATCAGCCTACCTGTGGATGTGTCTTCACTTAAATTTGGCTCCTGCCGACGTAAGTGCCTTGCTATGTAGATTTAATAACATGACCTTCATGAGTGGTGTAGAGTCATGGTCAATATACTTAGGTCAATGCAGTGAGAGTATAGACACTGCATTACTTATGTCAGCCATTACTGTCCTCTAGCAGCTGTCCCACATTGCCCCACCCTTACCGCCCTAGTCATTATTGTGAATTCAGCCTCCTCCCCCCCGGCACCTTTTAAAGCAAAAGCCACAGTTGGTGTATATGCCCCTAAAATGGAAATGACTGTTCTTTCCCCTTCATAAGTTCTGTTCCTTTAATTTATTCAGTTTTAAATGTTTTTTTTTAAATTGCTTGGTTCATGTGAAAGATTAATTTTGTTCCAAAAAATAGAATTTTATTCTGAATTAGTTCCTAGCATATGCTGGCTGTTGCTGAGTGGGTCTAATAGCGACCAAATATCTGTTACTGCACTGTGTTGCACTATTCATAATACCACTCTCAAACAATATTAATAGGTGCATTGACAATGTAATATTCCTACATGCATAGCAGTCACTACAAGTTTCTTATCAGGTTGCAAAAGAACAGGGCCAGGTAGAGCACATATCTACAACACTCACTACTCTGGCTCACTATTAAAATGGTCTTTCAAAGACTCCCTGAGCTGTGTAGCTCTGCCAAATGACGATGGCAATAGCTGAATATGCCCACTGTGAACTAGCTTTTCCCAGAGGCACGCATAAAGACAGTGTGAGTTGACTGATCATGTAGTTAACAAGTGCTGTCTTTTCTCTTGACAGCTTACTATTATAGCTCTTCCCCCTCCCCTAAAAAGCATGGTGTTAACATCATGTTATTTGTCCAATTAGACCACATCACTTCCCTTTTTGAATCAATCCACTGTAATTTTCTTCCCCAGATGCTAGCAAGTAGGGCCAGGTTAGCCTATCCTTATTCAGACTCATTGTGGTGCCAGAGATGAAAAGGCATCTCTTTTAAGTACGGGAGTCCCCTCATACTGACAGCAGGACTCTGAGATCAGCTATGTCATATTCTTTATTAAAATATACCATTTCTGAGATTGGTGACTAATATTATTGCTTTCGTAGAGCCCCACAAAATATGTTTGTTCTCAGGGCATGAATGTTAAAGTTGATTACTAGGAGTCCTTTAGTGGCATGTACCATAAGCTGCTGTTTCTGTTTGGTATTTTACACAGTTGCCTTCATTTTTACCTCGGATATCTAAAAATCACTGCTTTCTAACTTTGTGTGCAGATGTAACTGGAAGCCATCTGAAGTCTGAGGTGCAGATAAAAGGCCAAACAGCTAGTGACTAGAATCCAACATAAGAAGGTAATGATCAAATAATGGTTCTTGTTGTTTTGTTCACTAAACGTCTTCCAATGAATTCTGGATGTTAAAAGATAAAAGCATTACCTGATATTGCTTTGTAAGAAAATACTGTCTTTCCATTGCTCTCAGAACCTTTATTTTTCCATTTCCCTCCCCAAAAATGTGTAAACTAATTCTCACTGGCTAAAAATGGTATAACTCAGGTATCAGCTATAGTGATTTAAAACCATCAATCTTGTTCTGTAGACAAACACAAAGTGACTTGAGGATACTGACTGGCTGAGATACTCGTTCTGCTTTTGCAGAGTGAACTATCAGTATATTTTAGTAGACTTTGTGAATGTTATAAGATCTTGAGTAGTCACAAGATACATTGGATGATCCAAACACTAATCTCAGAGAGCCAACACTTCCCAACAGAGTGGCTGAGAATGAGTGTACTCTTGCTTAAACAGGCTCTTTTCCCACACTTTCCACTGCAATCCTGAAGCAGCCAGCTACACATAGGCAAGTATTTCACTGGTGCATAAGGCATGCTGCCCACCAGACACTTGGGGAAGAGTTGGTGTTGTAAAGAGGCCAAAGGGAAAGATGTTTTATTGGCAATGATAGTATCTTACCCCCTCTTTATGAGAAGGACCTCTGAGAAAAAGAGATGAGGAACAGGAAGTTAGCGTGGTCATGGAGTGGAATTGGATTTTGTATCCATACTGGATTATTTCTAACATCCACTAAAAAATGGTGGGCAGGGCAATCCCTAAAGGGGAGAAGGGTTTTCTTTCCCCTGATGGCCCAGACAAAGCTTCTCCACCCAAGAGGGTGTATGAGAGATCCTAGCAAGTGCTCACTCCTGTCCACCCACTAGGATTGCTGTGTCAAGCTTCTAAAGCCTCAGCAAGCTGGTTCCTTATTTGGCTTCTCTGGCATATTTCCTGGGCACTGACTCTCAGAAATGGGGCTCCTCAGCCCACCTGTAATAAGCCCTAGGACCAGTACTTACCTCATAGATACCCCAGTTACTTGAACATAGCTGTCTCCACTCAGAAGGTGTTAAGCTTCTGATTTATAGTTCAGCTTTCTCGGGCAAAAAGCAGTTGTGAAGCAGTCAACACACACTCGTACACCTTTATGTTTAATCATACAAAGCACAAGAGTGTACAAATCATACAAAACAATAAATACTAAAGGCATGTCCCTCCCTCACCATTCCAGGGCATTCTTTGGGCTAAGGTCTAAGTCCCTTGGGTTGTCCAGAGTCCTGGGGCCCATCTGGGCTCAGGAAAGCCATTAGAAACTCCTGTCCCATAATGCTGTTAGATAGTGTGTGACCTCTTCCTCCTGAAGCCTCTTACCCAGCTTCTCTGAACTTTCTCTCTCCTGCCCCATGCTGCCTTTACCTTTCTGGGTCCCCTATTTCTGTATGTTCCTTGATTTAAACCTCTCCTGGTCAGTGTTCTCTTGTTCTGTTCCTGTCTCCAAGTTCACCCTAATCTTATTGAAGCTGTCATCACAGCAAAGAATAGTAGAATACACAGAGAGCTGCTTCTAACAAATTCACACACTAAGCAAAAAAAGCAAAATGTGTGTTTTGCTGCAAGTAGCAAAAAATTCAAAAGACATAATAAAATTCCCTTTAGAAGGAACAGTCAATTATATCATGGCCTTCCCTCAGCCATATTTTTCTCTACCCCAAGGAACCTGCCCAGTTCTCTTGGAAAAAATCAGGAATAATTTGAACTCTCTTAAATATTCCTAAGGCCTGGTGCAAAAAACGGAACATACTGTTCCATCTCAGGCTTAACCAGTGATGACTAGAGAGAAATAATTACTCTGCTTGTTTTACATATGATATTCCTGGTAAA